CTCTGGAGGCTGCAGAGTTGTTGAGATGATACAACGTGTGCCCCTACCCCTCACCTCAAAGGAGGAGTCCTGGTGTCCAGAGGGAGCCATGTGCTGAGGGCTGGTGCCAGATTGCCGGCCATCTGTGGCAGAATTTCCCTGTGTCTGGCCCAGTGTCCAGGATGAGGGCTTCATGGGAGGAGCAGCTCAGCTCTGCTGAGGGCCGTGGGGAAGGGGCTGAGACTTGGCACTACCTGTCAAAGGTTGCATCTTCCTTCAGGTTTACATTTTAATTTATTGTTCCCTGCATGAAGGCTACTGCTAGGGCCAGCCAGGGCCCCTTGAATGATGCTATCCACCCTGGCTTGTGGGCAGTGGAGGGTGTGTCCGCGTGTATCTGCACACCTACACATACAGGCCAGGCCCACTCCTTGAAGGAGTACAGCAAGGCAGGGCAGCCATGCCCCAGGGCAGAGGGGCCAGAGGCCCAGGATTGCCCACCAATTTGTTCACCCCCTGAAGATCCGTCGACACCCATTCCCATGACTGCACCCTGAGGAGTCACTCTCAGAAGCCCCCATGAGGGCAGCCAGCCCATCTTGGCACCTGTGCCTTTTCTCTAAAGGGCCACACACTGAAAAGGACCTTGGCTCTGGCACCGACAAGTCTCCTTCCCAGAGCATTTGTGACATACCCTGGCAGTGGACAGAAGGACTGCCTGCCACAAGCATCTTCCTAGGACCCTCCTTCATCCCTCTGGTAGCTTGTAGTGTACCCACTTACAAGAGGGCAAAGAGGCCGCTCTGCTCAGAATCCCGGGTATTTGCCTGTGTGTGCTCAGATGCCTTCCCCGCCCTTCTCTGGCTGGGCACTGTATTGAAAAGGCGTATCCCTTGCAAGCTACATTTTCTAGCTCCCTTGCAACTGGCTTACTGTTAGTTTTGACCGCTGGACGCGCTGGTGTGGGGCTGGAGGGCAGGATCCAAGGGGTGGCCAGGGTGTCCCTCCCAGCTCCCTACCTTGCAGCAGTGTTGTGGCCTGTGGGCTCCGGTGACACCAGCTCTTCTCCTTGTCCCTCTGCTGCTGAGGGACAGTGGTCTGCTGCTGCTCCTGTCTGGGTTGCCTCATCATCCCTGTTAGGCTTTCAGCTCTTCCAGCACTGTTGCAGTTCATTTCCTGTCTGGACGCTTCTGTTGAACTCCCTGGCTTGGCCCTGTCTTCCTGACTGGATCCTGATCCTCTTAGTTTTGCTGCTTTCTTTCTCAACTTTTTTCTGCAGAGAGAACAGTGGACAGGGGCCAGAGATGGCTCTGGCCATTAGGAGCTATGTGACCTTAGACAAGTGTTGTAACTCCTCCAAGACTTGGTTTCCTTTCCTGCAAAGTGGAGTTAATAGCAGCACACAGGAGGCCTGCTGTGTTGTCATCTCCCTGGGTTCTGGGAGTGAGTGGAAGAGTCTCAGACTTGAGTGGAAAGCAGCAGCAATTTCACCAGCAGAACCAGGGAGCCCCGCGCCTCTCCATAACCCTGCGGCAGGGGCCTGGCCAGGAAAGGGCCTTGGGACCTGGCTGCTGGGAGCCCTGTGTGAGGACAGACATTTCCCCAGACCCTGCCTGGGCTTGTGGGTAGGCCTTGGACCCTTTCCCAGGCTTGTGGGTACCCTTTCCCAGGCTTGTGGGTACCCTTTCCCAGGCTTGTGGGTAGGCCTTGGACCCGGAACTTAGGATTTTTGGAGTCTTATATTTTGTCAGAGAGCAGGTATCTGGCCAGAGCTGAGATGAGGCTGAGGTACTCAGTTCTGGGCAAAGCTGCTTCGTGCCACAGGCTGGCAACAGCTGCCCTGCGGGGTGCTGGATCCTTCTCCTCACCCATGACTCCTATGTACCTCCTCTCCTGTTACCCTCCAACCCCCATTAGAGTCCTTGATTCTCCAAATGAGCAAAGATGATTTCAGGCAGTCTTAAAGAGCAGCCAGCCTCAGGGAGGCAGCAAGAGGTCTGGTGGTATGGGCATGAAGCACAGGTGAGCACACCTGGCTCTTCACCTGGGGCTGGCCACAAGTGCAGCTGCTCTGTGCCCAGCAGCCGGATGCCCAGCTGCGGTGACACCCAGCACTGTGCGCTCACTGGCTGGCCTGGTGGGCATTCACTCTTTTCCACTCTTCCAGTGAGGATGCTAATACCATTCTCTTAGGGCTGTTGGGATGCTAGGGTGGATGAAGTCATATGGGCACTCGATGAGTCAGTGTTACTGTCATTAGTATTATGTCCAGTATTTGTACTAGTACCACTAGTATTACTACTGTTATACACACACAGATGGAGCTGTCTGGGAATGAAAAGAGATATCTGGAAGTAGCCACTTGACTGTAGGAATTTCGTCTTGGAGGTGGCACTGAACCCCATAAAACCCAGCAGTAGCCATGGCCTGAGTCTTAAACAGCAGAAGCGGGGGAGGAGCCTGGCCTCCTTTGGGGCTTTTTGCCTCCGCACATTGGCAAAAGGAGGCCCAGAAGAAGTACTAGCCTCTTTTTTACCGAGTCTCTACCTCAACACCTCTCCCCCTGCCCTGATGTCTGGGTTCACTGTGAGAGACGCTGGCCCTAGCCCTATGCTCTGAGAGGCCATCTGTCAGCTGCGCCCTCCACCTTCCTGGAGCCCAGGGAGCCAGGCTGAGCCCTGGTCTGTTCCATCCCTTCATGGAAGGAGGGAAGAGAAAAGCAGGATGCTGGATGTTCCTCACAGGTTTGGTCTGTACTCTGAGGTGTGGTGGCTGTGGGTCTGGTACCTCTACAGCCTGGCATAGCTGAGCTTACCTCAGCCACCTGCAGCCGCCTCATCCCACTAGGCCACTCTGGACTCCACCACTCTCTCCCCTCATCCCCAAGCCCAATCATAGCAGTGCCTTTAACCCAAAGCTGCTGTTGCATGGAAGTCAGATCTCCCTCCCCTTCTGCCTCTTCCATGCCTCACTCTTACATGCTTTATCTTATCACGTAGATATTTGTGAACATGCCTTATTTCCCTTGTGAGACAGAAAGAGATCATTGAAGGCAGGGACTGTGGTGGCAGGTTCATTCCCAAACCCCTAGCACAGGCCTGGATCTGAGGAGGACACAGCATCTATTGGATATACAAGCATCTGGGCACACAGCTCACAGACACACAAGAAGCGAGGCATGGAGCTGGGTCTTTGCCACAGTCATTCTATGTAACAAGCCTCCCCAGTCTCAGTGGCATATGGCATCTATTTTCTTGCTCAGGAGTCTGTGGGTTGACTGGGTAGCTCTGCTTCAGGCTGTAGGTCTAACGGGCGAGGGAGGCCTCAAGGGATTGACAGGGTTGACTCCAGGCTATAGCTTGGCCCAGGTCTGTTCCATGTGCCCTCCATCAGGGACCCCGACTGAAGGGGCAGTGGCCACCTGGGACAAGTTCTTTTCATAGTAACCTAGCAGGAGCATGAGTGACAGCCAACCAGCAAGCCCACTTAAAGCCTCTGCTCACGTCCCATCCATGGGTTGCCACAGGTCAAAGCAAGCCTTGCCGCCAAGCCTCACGTCCATGGGGCAGGGCTATACACCCCACCAACTCCAGCAGAAAGGACTGCAAAGTCACAGCATAGAGCGCAACTCTATTATAGGGAGGGAGTAAAGAACTGGGGGCACTTTCCAGCCAAAACTCCCAGCACAAAGGTCCCGCGAAACACTGTCCATTCATGGTTCTGTTGTGCTCACAGACATGCAGACTGAGCCCCGTCCTCTGACAGAATATATGACCGTGTGCTGGTGTCTTAACCTCTCTATGCTTGAGTTTTCTCAGCAGGAAAATGGGGGTAATAACAATGCTTTTCTGAGAGGATCAGGTGAGATTTAATAGACTTAATACATGTCAAATGCTCAAACAATTCTTGGTATATATTGAGCACCCAATAAAAGTAAGCTGCTCCTGCTTTTATTATGACTAATGCTGCCACCACCACCACCATCGCCATGTCATTATTATTCTTTAGTGAAGCATCCGATTATATTCCTTAAATGCCTTCCATCCCCAGTTACACTAATTTAGAAGTGTAGACACGTGCACACAGCAAGCATCCATGCACACCAGGGGGGCTACAAACTAGCAACCCACTTGCTCAGTCTGCTGCAGACATGTTTTATTTTGATCTGTCTGATATTTTAAGATGAGGATTTCACATAAAAATCAAAATTTCTTGAGTTATCTTCATAGGTGGTAAATACAGTTAGGGAAGAGATTATATCTCCCAGAGAGAACACATGGGTAAAAAGATGAGAGGGCTCAGGTGGATGCATGGAGAACCCAGTTGTTTAAGAGTTGGCTGGAATACTGGATGGCTGAGATGGCCAGCCAGAGGGACAGGGAGAGAAGGTGTCCCCGGAAGCAGGGACAGGGCAGGTTCAAGGACCGCAGGAGGACCCCCAAAGTCCTGTGAATTGGACTTAGCAACAAGGAGGTCACTGTGGACTGTGCTGGGGGCAGTCTGGGAGTGGTGGAGGCACAGGCAGGATTATAGGAATAGGGGGTTCATAAAGAAGAGCAGGGAGAGAGAAGAGTGTAGCCAACCCTTCCAGGAAGCTTGGCTGGGAAGGAAGAAGAAAGAGTAGGCTGGGGGCTTGGGGTGAGGACTGGGATTAAAACAAGTTTTCTTAAGACAGGAGACTCAGCATATTTAAATACAGACAGGAAAGACTCAGTAGACGAATGAGAACACAAGAATGACACTGTGGAGAGGGAGGAGGGAAGTGAGAGGGAGCCAGGTTCAGGTGAAGGCTCCACCTTAGGGAGGAAAAATGACAACTCTTCTCTGGGCACTGTCCCTGGAGATGAGGTCACCCAGCTAGTTAGTGGCCAAGACAGAGCTGGGCACATTCGCTCATGAACTCATTTAGCAGACACTCACTGAACACCTACAGTTCACCAGGTACCACCCTAGCAACAAATGAAACAGACAAAAATTACTGCTTACATTCTAGTCATAGAAGAAAGAGACAATAAACAAAATGAAAAAGGAAATTGTATAGTTTATTGGAGGGTGAGACACGCTATGACTAAAAATCAAGGGGAGTGGACAGCACTGAGGGCATGGGCTGCCATTTTAAATAGGATGGTCAGGGCAGGTGACGTTCCACCAAGGACTTGAAGACAGCCAGTGAGTGAGGCCTGCATGGAAATGTCTGGGGATTAACACCTTCCAGGCAGAAGCAAGAGCAGTGCAAGGGGTCTGAGAAGGGCATGTGCCCAGAGTGTGGAGGAGCATCACAGAGGTGCCATGGTGAGGGCAGGGCAAGCCTGGGGCCAGTGCTAGGAGACAAGGTCACAGTACGCACTGGAGACTACGTTATGTTGGACTTTGCAAGCCTCGGTAGAGCCTTCAGCTTTCACTCTGAGTGAATGAGGGGCCATTGGGGGATTTTAAGCAGAGGAGTGGCATGATCTCACTCAGGTTTTAATGGAGTCACCCTGGCTGCTGTGTGGAGAATAGACTGTGGGGGTGGGGCACAGCAAGAGGGCAGGGACAGAGGCCAGGTAGAGGCAGTTTCTATGATCCAAGCAAAAGACAATGGTGGCCAGACCAGGGGTGGGAAGCAGAGAGGTGGTGAGAGGAGTCTGGATTCCTGACGTGTTTTGAAGGCAGACCCATCAGGATTTGCTGATGCCTTGAATGAAGAATGAAAGGACAAGAGCAGTCAAAGATGCTGGCGAGGTGTTGGCTGGAGCAACAGGAAGCTGAAGTTGCCATTTACTGAGAGGGGGAAGGCTGTAGGCAAGACAATGACATTGGGTCGGGGGAGAAGATGAAGAACTCCGTTCGGACTTGTTGAGTTTGACGTGTCTGTTAGACACCCAGATTGAGATGCAAGTGAGCAGTGGTCTATATAAGTCTAGAATCAGGAATGTCCAGGCTGGAGATAGAAATCTGGAGGTCATTGTTGTCTAGGGTTATTTAAAGCCATGAGACCAGATGAGGGCATCAAGAGCATGAGTGTAGACAGAGAAGAAAAGAGGTTCAGAGACTGAGTCCCGGGATCTTTCAGTGTTACGAGATCAAGGGAAGAAGGTAGAGCCAGCAGAGGAAATAAAGGAAATTGCCAGTGAAGTAGGGGCTGGGGTTTGGGCAGGCCTTGCCATCCTAGAAGCAGAGAGAGCTATTTCTAGGACGGAGTGACCGGCTGGGTCAAATGCTGCTGGTGTGTCAAATAGTCAAATAAGATGAGAACTGAGATGTTACCACTGGATTTAGCAACATGTTGGACGTTGCTCTTCAGAGACTGGTTAGCCCAGAATGGCCCCTCTGAACGTTTCAGAACCTTCCCTGTGGACTAAATGGGATAATCTGTGCATTCGCGCCCTACATGTGGGAGATGTGCCCTAAATGCCTGGGCATCTGGCGGGCTCGGGGGTGAGGGTTCCAGCAGTGGCACAGAGGACGAGAAGGTCAGCTTTGGAGTGTCTGAGTAGACCCTGGGCCTAGAGGGGTCCCGAGCCCCTGGAGGAGTCCTGCTGGGTCATTCATTTGCACCATCTCTCTAGACCCTGCTCTCCTCTCAGCAGATGAGCCCACCTCCCCCAAGAGGCCGAAGAGCATCTCTGAGCCACAACACGGTGATGTGGAAGGGGGCGCCGCCTCTCCCTCGCCCTCCGAGTGGACCTCGGTGAGGATCAGCCCTGGGGAGGATGCAGCTGGACAGGATGTGCTGGCTGTGCGTGTCCTGGTCACCAGCGAGGACAGCAGGTATGCTCAGGCTGCTGCTGGATGGGGACAGAAGCAGGGTTGGAGGAAGGGAATCGCATTTGGGATTGGGTCTTCTCTCTACTTGCTTGCAGTGTGGCCTCTCTGTGCTTCCATATCCTCATCTGTAAAATGGTGACAATCATGGTACCCATGTCAGAGGGAGTTGTAAGATTCACAGAATTCATCTGTAGTAAGTGTATAGAACAGTGCCCACACATCATAAGCACTGTAAGTGTTAGCAATTGTTATTTTCTCGGGAAGGGAAAGGGCCTGGCCCCATGCTCTTCTCAGGAGGCAGTGTCATGCTGACTGTAGTGAGGGGTGCAGGATGGGTGTCACCTGTCCCCAGGGCCTGCCCACTGCAAGATGGTGATGCATGGGGCTGGGCAGGCTAGGATACAGAGTGGGGAACATGAGGAGTGAAGCCCTGGTGCCTTAGGTGACTGTTTCTCAGAGTGCTGTCCTCATCACCTGCATCAGAATCACCTGGAGTGGTTATTAGCCATGCAGACTCCAGGACTCCTCCAGATTCACTGAATTCACTCAAGAGGTAAGTCAACAACAGGTATTGGTTGCTTATTATTTACTAGACTCTGAGGAAATAGCAGTGGCCAACACAAGACAAGGTCCTTGCTTTCCCATGGCTTTCATCACATTGGGAGCCAGTTAGGAAGCAAGTAAGTAGTTAAACAAGAAAAGCATCACATTTGTGCCAGGTCAAGAAATAAAATAGACACATATGCTAGAGAGTGGCTGGTCAGCTGCCTTAGATTAGGTGGCCAGGAAAAGGCCTCTGTAGCAGTTGTTGATGCCCACAATAATGCTGAGTGACAAACCAACCCCAAAGCGAGTGACTTAAACCAACTACCATCCATTACACCATGATTGTGTAAAAAAGTAGACCAGAGTAAGCCAAGCCTGACCAAGTAAGCCAGGTGCACCTGGGCAGTTCTGGTCTTGGTGGGCTCACCTGTGTGTTTGGGCCAGTAGGGTTCTGCTCTGGAGTCTGAGTGTCAGCTGGGGTGACAGAGGGCTGTTGGGCCATGGGTCTTTCATCCTCCAACCGGCAGCCCAGGCTTGTTTCTGTGGCCTTAAGAGAAAGAGGGGAACCATCCAAGATCTCCCGAGCCCCAGGCTTGACACTGCACAGTGCTTTTCCAGTTCCATCTGATTGGCGACAGCATGTCACAAGGCCTGAACAGATTCAACAAGTGGAAAATAGGCTTCTCTCTTTAGGGGAAGAGCTGCAAAGCCCCCATTGCAAGGGGGCATAGATCTAAGGGGAATGATTGCAACCATCTTTGCAGACAAATTTCCACAGCCTCCCTGAGGAGGTGACATTTAAGCTGAGAATTGGTTGACAAGAAGGGACAGCCAAGGGAGAAGGGGAATGCAGGAAGTGACGACAGCTAGTGACAGGCCCCTCTGTGAGAGTGAGCGTGTCTCAGAGGTAAGAGAAGGTCGGTGTGGCAGGTACACCCTGAGTGGGAGAAGAATAAGAGATGACACCAGGAAGGCAGGCAGGAGCAAGGCTTATAAGACAAGGTAAGGAGTTTAAATTGTGTTCCAGGTATCCAGTCACACATCACTTAATTAGCCAAGATATGTTCTAAGAAACGTGTTATCAGGTGATTGTGTCATTGTGTGACCATCATAGAGGGCATTTATATAAACCTAGATGGGCGAGCTCATTCCACACCTGGGCTAAACGGTATAACCTATTGCTCCCAGACTACAAACCTGTACACTGTGTTACTGTACTGAATGCTATCAGCAACTGTAACACAATGGGAAGTATTTGTGAATCTAAACATATATAAACATAGAAAAGGTACAGTACAAATACAGTACACAATATTAAAAATGGCTCACCTATATAGGGCACTTACTATAAATGGAGCTCACAGGACTGGAAGTTGCTCTGGGTGAGTGAGTGGGTAAGTGGTGAGTGAGTGTGAAGGCCTGGGACATCGCTGTACACTACTGTAGACTTTATCACACTGTGCACTTAGGCTACCCTACATTGATTTGAAAAATATTTTTCTTTCTTCAATAATAAATTGGCTTACTGTAACTTTGTTACTTTCTAAACTTTTTAACTCTATTGTAGTAACACAGCTTAAAACACACACACATTGAATAGCTGGAAAAATATTTTCTTTCTTTACACCCTTATTCTATAAGCTTTTTTATTCCTTACTTCTTAACTGACTGGCAGCACTGTAGGTTTTTAACCAGCATCACCGCAAACACGTGAGTGATACCTTTCCCTACAATGTTAACAAGGGCTGCGACGTAAATAGTTCATAGGAATTTTTCTGCTCCATTATAATTTTATGGGACCACCATCATATATGGGTTATATCGCTGACTAAAACATCTTTATGAAAGGCCTGACTGTAATTCAAAGATGTTTTCAGTAGAAGAGTTGACATCTCATTTACAGTTTTCACAGGTCAGCAGGCCTTGCCTTGGGGAATGGATGAGGCAGGGGTGTGTGAGGATGAAGGCAGGAAGAGTAGGTGGGAGCCTGCAGCTCGGGGTCAGGATGGGAGCAGTGGAGTTGGATTTGCTAATGGACTGAATGAGAGGGAAAGAGAATTTCAGGGTCACTCCCAAAATTTTTCTAGAGTGACTGAATGGCTGGTATGGTCATTTCTAAAGTTATCTTGAGGTGGGGAAGATTTCAGAGAAGGTGCAGGTTAGTGGAGAAAGTCAAGAGTTCTGTTTTGGACATGTTGGGGTTTGAGATGCCGGTGTCTGTGGACGTCAGGTAAGTGGTCGAATATGTAAGTGTGAAGTTCTGGGAAGCACGGCTGGAGATGGTGATTTTAGAGGCTATTAAAGCCCAGGGCTCTGATGAGTTGCTTCCAGAGTAAGAATATCTTCCTGTAGACAAAGAAGAGCTGGGCTCAGAAGAGAGCTCTGGGGCATTTGAACATTCAGTAGGCAAGTAGAGAAGGAGCTAGCAAAACCCACTGGGAACCAGGAGATGGCGGGTGGTGGAAGCCAAGAGAAGAAAGTGTCTCAAGAGGGAGGGTTTGGTTCTCTGCATCAGAGGCTGCTGGAGAGCCCAGTAGGATATGTATAGAGAAATGACCTTTGGACTTTCCAACAGGAGGCTCATTGTTAACTTGGACAAAGTGGCCTCAGTGGAGTAAAGGGGTAGGTGTGGGGGGAACATGACGGGAAAGCAGGGACTGCAGTTGTAGACTACTGGCTCTTCAAGTCTTGACCATGCAGACTCTGGAATGGGGCTTGGGAACATAGGTTTGAACATCCCACAGGTGATTCATTCTGATCCCCAGAGAAGGGAAATGACCTGCCCTGGATCACACAGCCTTCAGAGTCTTCTAAGCCTCAACGTAGGCAGGCCTGTTTCCATAATAACAGGCATAAACCTAACTCCAACTAGCTTCAGTAACAAAGGCAAACGCATTGGCTCATGTGACTGGGAAGTCCAAGGGTGGTCCTCATTCAGGCAAGGCTAGAGCCAGAGTCTCAAATAACCACTCTCCCTTCCTGCCTCTCTGCTGCTTTTACAGCCATTGGCAGAGAGGCTGTCTCCACACATGGAACTCGGCTACTGAGGGTCTCAGACCATATCCATAAATTCATGTCCTCAGGTCAGGATCTCAAGGCAGGCCCCCAACTGCTACTCCCACATCACATACTTCCCTCTGGGAACAGTCGGTGAACAGGACTGGGGTACCATGACCGGCCAGGCTTGGGCACTCTGATGGCTAAGGGGTCTGCCATAGACACAGGTAGATGAGTGGCAGTGGCCTTGTGGAAGGAACCCTGCTGGATTTCCATGTACAGAGAATGTGTGCATATATAGAGTTTCACTAACACGTCACTGCTTGACCCGTTTTGTACTTTCCCATCTGGAACATTGTGCTTGGACTGCCCCTCTCTCTAGGACACCTTGCCTCCACTTCTTTGCCACTTGAATTCCTACCAGTTATTAAAGGCCCATGTTAAATACTACTCACCCCTCACCCCCACCCAGGTAGAATTTTCCATTCCCTCATCCATTCCATGGGGAAGAGAGCAGTATTTAAATGCCTGAAGTTTTGGGACCAAGTCCCTAATTATGAGCTTATCTGACCAGACAGACCTTGGGAGTCATGCTCCGAGACAGGTGCAAGTGAGCAGAGCAGGCGTTATTCAAACAGCTCCTCATGCATTGCTGGGCCCCTTCTGCTCTGAGCCAAGCCTGTATTGTTCTGCTCTGACTGCCGTAACAAAGCACCACAGATTGGGCGGCTTAAACAACAGAAATGTATTTTCTCACTGATTGGGAGCCTGGAAGTCTGAGATCAAGGTGTGGGCAGCTTTGGTTCCTACTGGAGGATTGGAGGGAAGGATCTGTTCCAGGCCTCCCTCTTTAACCTGTAGATGGCGTCTTTTCCTGTCTGCATAGTGCTTTCCTTCTGTGCATGTGTGTGTCCACATTTCCTTTTCTTAGAAAGATGTCAGGTGTATGGGACAAGGGCCCAGCGTAATAGCCACATTTTACCTTAATGACCTCCTTAAAGGCCTTATCTCTAGATGCAGTCACATCTGAAGGTACTTGGGGTTAGGACTTCAGCATATGAGTTTTCAGGAACACAGTTCAACCCACAACAAAGTCTGCAGCTGGGCTGTGGGCACCCAGGACTAAGCCCAGGCCCTCCAAGTGCGCTGGAGGAGTGCTGGGCAGGACACAGCGTGGGTGTGTTGGGGCGTGGGTTCCGGGGCCCCGACTCGCCCACCCACTCCTTCCTCCTTCCAGCTCTGACACAGAGTCTGACTATGGTGGCGGCGAGGTCTCCCACACAGAGCGCTGTGAAGAGAAACCCTGGCGGCCAGAATCCCTGTGTCTACCGCACACCTCCCTGAGGGAGGCTCTGAGCAGGGCGGTCTCTGAGGAGCCCAAAACTGTGCATGGTAAGCAGAGAGCCCACCGGGCTTGATTCTGGGATGCGGGGAGGGAACAGAGACCCCCACAGCTGAATTTCCCTCATGGAGGACCGGGTGACAGGAGGCCTCGCCCTTAGGCTCCAAGGCAGTGGGACTAGGACCTCTGGGGAGTGGGATGCAAGTGGCAGTGAGGGGACTGGACCCAGGCCTGGTTTCTCTCTCCATGAGAAGCTTTGGAATCCCAGTGGGGAAGATGTCACGGGGCCTGGCTGGCTGTGGTTGGTCACAGGCCAGCAGGGATCAGGGGCCCGCAGGTCCCTTTTGCCTGGAGTGATTTCTCTCCTGCCTCCTGTGTGGGCACCTCCTTAGGGGCCCCTCTGGCATCCCATAGCCCCTGAGGGAAGGGAGCTGGGCCGGGCTGCTGTTGAACAACATGCGACCCTGGACGGCATCATCTCCCTGGGACCACCTGCACAGCACTGGGGCCATTAGCGGTGTTTGGAGCTTGTGGGTTGCACCCAAACTTCTACACAATAATTAAGGCACTTTTACTGCGTACCTGTAATAAGCCAGGACTTTTCCCATACGTGTGGCCCATTTCATCCCAGGATGACCCTGTGGGGTAAGTAGTACAAAGCCTGTTTCACAGGGGAGCAAACAGGCTAAGTGGCCTCCCGAAGTCTCAGCCCGTGCTGGTGACACCGTCCAGCCACTGCTGCCCAAGCTCTGGCTTACTTAGAAGTAGCTGTCTTTAGCAGCCCAGCTTGTGTTTAATACAAAGTTGACCTGGAATTGAGTGTTTTGATTCAGTCAACAACTTGGGACCAAATCGTCTGATTTATGGGCAACTTCTGGACGAGCCTGGGAAGAAACAGGTTAACCTGACAGAAACTTCCTGCCCAGCCCCACAGCCTTAGCCTGGGAGAGCAGGAGCTCAACTTGTCCTGCACCGCCACCTGGTGGTCAGGAGCAGAATTGCCACCTGGTCCGTGAAATGTTCCCAGGAAAACGAGGGCTGGGACAGAAAGAACTCATATAGGTAATTTAAAATCCTGGAAATGTTGAATTTACTCTAGAAATGTTCAATTTACCCTCATTTTTACAAAAGTGACATTTTTAAAAAAGGACAGATTATCATCCAAACACATTTGTTAAGTACCATTTGTGGAAAGTACAAACAAACACATTTGTTAAGTGCTGTGCAGAGAGGCTCAGCACTGGCACCGAACCGAGTTCTCTCCTGTGCCCAGCTGGGTCCAGCCCCACCTCTGGTTACTGCGTGGCCTTGGTGTACCCTTCCATCCTCCTGGGCTCCAGCTCCCCATTTCCAGATACAAAGTCGGCCTGCCTTTCATCCCTTCCCTCCATTTCCCCTCCAATTGCCAGAGGGTTTTAGGCAACTTACAAGAAAAACATAAAACAAAATTGTACAACTATAAAGGTGAAAGATCAAGCCTCAAAATCAGGTCTAACAAAGCCAGTTTAGGAGGGATATACCCCAGAGAGGCAGACCATAATCCTAGACAGTTGCTCTAGTTGAATCATAAGTTTGATTCTGAGTTTTCTGGCTTCCAGCGTTCAAAAGGAAACACAGAACATCATTATTCTCATTGTTTATGAGAAAAACACGTATTGGTTTGCAGCAGGTCTCTGAGCAGGCACAACTTCTCCTAATGCTTAACTCTGTCGACAGTTTCCAGCTCGTACTGGATACATGATGTTGAGAAAAGTGTTAGATTATGTCTTAACAGTTCCTCAGAAAATGCAGCCCTAGTATTCTTGAGGCTGTTTCTTACGGCATGCCTTGCTGGAAGGTGAGGGCATAACCAAAAAAAAAAACAAATAAAACACAAAACAAAACAAAACAAAAAAAAGAAAACAAAGAAAAACCTGACTCAGCAATAGCAGTTTTCTTAGTGGGATGGGGTTGGGTTGAGAGACTAGTTGGGTTGCGTTGGGTAGTGAGATCAAGGCATTTTGTTTCTGGCAGTCCAGTTTAACTCCAGAATAAAATATAGAGTAGACAAGTGGGTAGACTGTGTGACTCTCAAACAATTCTTTGTCAAGTTAGTCTTCATCAGTTGTTGTTTGATCATTGCTAGGTGAACCACATTGTACAGTTAAGCTCTAAGTGCTGTGCTTTGTGTTGCTGGTTATGGTAACCCCATCACTTTACCAAATAATGCAGGGTTGACCCCTTGTGTGGGTTTTATGGAGCTTCATTAACTACAATTCTCACCTGGATAAATGCCTCCAAGGTAGACCAAGGGAATGCCAGGCAAGACCAGGATATTGCTTTGAAAAGACTCCTGGTTGCAGTGTGGAGTTTAAAAAAAAAAAAAAGACTCCAGGTTGATCCAGCCATGCTCATAGAAGCATTATTCACATTAGACAAAAGGGGGAAGCAAATCAAATGTTCAACAGACAAATGGACAAACAAAACACAGTATATCCATACAGCAAAATGTTATTCAGACTTTAAAAGGAAGGGACTCTGACATGCGCTACAACTTAGATGAACCTTCAAAGCATGCTACTAAGGGAAGTGAGCCAGTCACAAAAGGACAAACGTCAGTTTGGGATGAGAGCAGAGTTCTGGAGATGGGTGATGGTGAGGTGGTGATGGCTGCACAGCAGGGCAAGTGTACTTAATGTCACTGAAATCTAGACTTAAAAATGTATAAGTAACCATTTTTATATCATGTATATTTTTTCCACAATTTTTAAAAAGACTTCTGGGACTACCTTGGCACATGAAGGCACCTATTACATCCTCAAAATTCACAGAGCATGCCCAAGAGGGTGGCCTGAAATACAGCTCACACCCTATGTCATGGAGTCTGCAGAAAGCCCCCTAAAACATCGGGGTCAGTGATTCTTGACAATCTTGTTTAAAAGGCAGATTCCCAGGTTCTCACCATCAGAAATTCAGATTCAGTGGGTCTGGAGTGGGGTCAAGTATGTACGTTCTGTGTAAGCATCCCCAGGGGCTTTGACACAGTGGGCCATGTTCTACACTTTGGGGATTTTGGAAATGCAGCTTTGTGGAAGGCCTGCCTAGATGAATTCATTGTAAAATCCACGCCCAAGCAACTAAATGAATAGATCTAGTGCATTGGACTCTTGGCAATAAACTAATTAGATTTAGGAGAACAACCTGCCCCAAATTATTCTGGCTTAGAGGAATCGGTATTTATCCATCTTTTTTCTGGCAATAATTTGATAACAGGATGGTCCAATGGAATATGGAGGACTCTTATCAGTTTGTAATAATAAAATGATATCATCAGCACCACATGGCAAAATACCCTCTGACTCCTTTTACAGTGGGTCATGCACTAAGATCTCTGAAAGTGCTCCTTTGAAATAAATAAACACACATAGAATGTAAGCTAAGAAGAAGAGATCAGCCCACTTTATGTTGCTCAGCATTACTAGCCACCCTATTGTTCCCATTGTGGTAAAAATGTGTGCATGTGTGCTCTATTAACACCAGTGATGGAAAATCTCTCTTGAATTTAGCCATTTCCAATAGGTTCCATTCCACAAAGTTACAAGCTAAGAAGAAGCAATTAGAGCTTTATGCAATTTTTTTTTTTTTTTTTTTTTTTTTTTTTTTTTTTTTTTTTGAGAAGTGTCTTCATTAAGTGATTAAGAGGCCAGCTTTGGCCAGCAGGATGTAGCTGTGCTTAAGACCTGCTTGCTCTTTATGCCTGGAAAGCCCAGTCAGCCAGCACTTGGGAGGGTGAGCTATCCATCTCCTCATGGGGAGCTGGGAAGACTGTGTGCCCATCCACACAGGCTCCTCCTCAACCCCATGGACTGGATTTTGAGAGTATGCCTGTGGGATTGGGAACCTGCCAGATAGAGCAGGCATGAAGCGCCTCCAAATGTAACCACCCAATGGGTTCTCCTTGCCTGCTGCCTAGACTGAGCTGATTTATCAAGACAGGGGAATTGCAATAGAAAAAGAGTTTAATTTACACAGAGCTGGAGAGTACAGGAGACCAGAGTTTTATTATTACTTAAATCAGTCTCCCTGAAAACTTGGGGATCAGGGTTTTTAAAGATAATTTGCTGAGTAGGGGTTTGGAAAATGGGGAGGGCTCATTGGTCAGGTCAGAGATGAGCTCATAGGGAGTTGAAGCTATCTTCTTGCACTGAGTCAGTTCCTGAGTGGGGGCTAAAAGTCCAGATGAGCCAGTTTATCAATCTGGGTGGTACCAGCTCATCCTCTGAGTGCAGGGTCTGCAAAATATCCCAAGCACTGACCTTAGGCTTTACAATAGTGATGTTAGCCCCAGGATGCAATTTGGGAAGATTCAGAATCTTACAGCCTCCAGCTGCATGACTCCTAAACCACAATTTCTAATCTTGTGGCGAATTTGTTAGTCCTGCAAAGGCAGTCTAGTCCCCAGACAGGAAGGGGGTTTGTTTGGGGAAAGGGCTGTTATCATCTTTGTTTCAAAACTAAACTATAAACTAAGTTCCTCCCAAAATTAGTTCAGCCTACGCCCAGGAATGAACAAAGGGTGGAGGTTAGAAGCAAGATGGATTGGTTAGGTCAGATCTCTGTCACTGTCATAATTTTCTCAGTTGTAATTTTTGCAAAGGGCATTTTCACAAACGGAGTAAGGAGGAGAGAGGAGTTGAAGGAGCTGGTCTTGAGGAAGGAAAACCCCCAGGTAGTGGTTGACACTTATGCTCCACAGCCTGGCTGCTAAGAAAGAGTTCCACTGTGAGACCTGGCAGGGAGCGGAATATCTAGGACTGTTTCCAGACAGAAAGAAAGACAGAGGGCTGGGCCAGCTGGGCCTTGGATTTAGAGTCCTGGATTCAGACCCTCTCTGCCTCCATCTCCCATACCCACATCATGCCCTTGGGCTTTCTTTTCGTTCATGCTTCCTGGCCCTGCCTGTGTGCACATTCAGATGTTCACCGTCCCCATCGTTTCTCTCCGGCAGTGATGGAGGTGCAGAGGCCTGAAGCCTGAGAATGCATCTGCAGGCCTTGTGTGGGAATATGGAACATGTGGACCCCACTGCCCACTCTCACACCCTAAGTGACAAAGACCTGTTTTTCTTCTGCATGTGATGTTCATTTTGCTCAGCTAATCCTCAAGGCCCAGCTGGCAGAGGGGTCTTCCAAAGGAAGTACAGTGTCCCGCAAATATGTTTCCCTTGGAACCAGGCCAAGGGAGGGCCACAGCAATGATGGTCCACAGTCTCAGTTAAACCTAGTTTCCAAAGGGTTTGGGGGGGTTTGTCGGGAGAGGGGAGGCAGAGAATAGAACTTCCTACAGCTTTCTGGCTTCAGTTAGAGCAGCTCCACTTTTTAATGTATTGCATATATGGAACATTGATGTTCCGTGATGACCTCAGCTTTAAATAACTGTTCTGACATGAATGAATATGTGCATGTATGTATATACACATGCATGTATAAATATATCAACACATATGCATATATGCATATGGATGTTTACTGATGATCTTAGTAATGATAGTTCACAGTTTGAGGCATTCTCTGAGGGTGGTACGTGTCCCATGGCAAGGTCTCAATAAATATTTGATTCCAGGTGTGGTGGCTCATGCCTGTAACCCCAGCACTTTGGGGGCCGAGGTGGGGGGATCACTTGAGCCCAGGAGTTTGAGACCAACCTGGGCAACACAGTGGGACCCTAGCTCTATAAAAAATAAAAAATTAAAATTAAAAAATTATCTGCATGTGGTGGTGCGTGCCTATAGTCCCAGCTACTCGGGAGGCTGAGGTGGGAGGATCATTGAGCCCAAGAGGTGGAGACTGCAGTGAGCCATGACCCCACCACTGCACTCCAGCCTGGGTGACAAAAAAAAAAAACACACAAAAATATTTGATGCGTGAACAAATGAAAAGTTTGGTAGTGTATGTTGTGGGGACAGGAGTATGGTGTGAGGGAAGGAGAGGGTTCAATCTATTATAATCATTAGTCTATTAACTTATGGTAAATGAGCTATAGGAGATAAATTCCTACTTACTGTACACATTAAATGGACTCTTCCTCCCACCCCATCTTCCCTGTCCCTTTCTTTTTCCACAGCAGCTCTGCAACGGGCCAATAGCTTCCAGTCTCCAACCCCAAGCAAATACCAGAACTGGAGGAGAGAATTCCGGTGGAGTGAGTCACTAGCTCTCTGGGAGTGGGAGGTTGGGACTGGGCAGAAGATCTCTGGTTAATTCTCAGGGGCAGCTGTTCTCATTCCTTACATGGTATCTCTCTGGCGTGGCCTCCTAGTTGTCAGAGGCAAGAAATAAAATATCAGGTTGACTTTATTTCCACTGCTGACTAGAGGGAGCCTTTTCCAAGGGACTCAAGATCTTCCCATTCCCCTCCACCCCTGGCTCAAGAATTATGGAGCCTTAGGATTCTACAGTTTCACCCAGACAGGGCCTTAGCCATCATTACCTCTAAGCTTTTTGAAATACAGACGAGTAAACCGAAGGAACTCTATGATTTGATTCTGTACACTGGAGTGAGACTGGGGCATCAGATTAATGACCTCATGCAAAGCAGGATGCTACAAACAGACACCCACGCATCCACACACACATCCCTACACACACACATATGCACATGCACACACACACATCCCTACACACACACACACACACACACACACACACACACCTCTCCTTTTTCAGAGTCAGACTTGGTCCCAGTGTCCTGGGGAAGAGCAGGGCTGTGGCAGGTGCTGAGGCAGCAGGCCCTGCCAGGCAGTGCAGTGACCACACACAGACTCACAGCGTCTAGGCAGGCCTGGGATCCAGGGACTGCAGCACTTACTGGGCAGAGTTCCTTCCCCAGGCCCTGGAGCAAGGGGCAGAGACTCTTCATCCAGTTCTAGGCTCATCGCTGCCTTCCACCTCCCCCCACACCCACTCCCTGTCCGGCCTCACCCTAGGAGAGGAGGACCCAGAAAGGCCTTGGCTTAGACAGGGGTTTCTACCAAGAAATGTTGCAGTTGGAACTGAGCCCTGGTCTTCCTTCCTTCTGAGTCAAGGCTCCCAGCCAGTGAGTCATTCCCCCGCCATCCGCAGACCCACCACCCTCGCACCGGGTCAGGCTGGGACAGGGGCACCTCGGAAGCAGGACCCAGGGCTGCACTCTTGGGCAGGCCACTTCATCTGGGGACAGCCTAGAGTGACTCCTGAATCCTCTGACAGCCCCCAGCGGTGACAGCAGAGGGTGGAGGAGCTAGCGTTGCCACACATGGGTCATCGCCTTTACTGCCCTGCTCTGGCCCTCCCCACGTCCCTGGAAGCCTGCTGCCCGGGCCCCGGATGCGTGGGTGCAGGGTCCATCCCAAGGCTTCCAGCCCACTCTACTGTGTGCCGCCAGTGTGGGGACTCAGTCCGTCCTCAGGAAGCTCTCAGCCTGGGGTGAGAGCAGGGAGGCTGGTGGTAGACCCTCCCAGTAGGGCTGGGTCGCTGGGGGAGGTGCAGGAACAAGAGGACTGCTGAATAGCCCCATGGTGTCTGGAATGGGCCTGGGAAACTCAGCCTTAGTTATCAAAGAGTATTGTACAGTGTTTCTCAAGAGTATACGAAAGCTGCTTTGAGGGCAGGGCTTGAGTTTTGATCATTTCAATCAGCCTAGTGTCTAGCATGGTCTGACCCAGAGGAGGAACCCAATCCTTGTTTGCTGAATCAATGAATGAAGTAAGGAACCAAGGAGCAAGCCAGCTGAACTGAGCGCAAAGGGAGCACATGGATTCAGACCTGCTCAGGCTACCGCCCCTAGAGGGCGCTCCAAGACTTTGAGAGGGATTTGAACCTTGCCAAACCTCCAAGTTCTGGGAAGCTGCACCCTGAAGTCCCAGTCTCACAAAAATCCCAAGAGCCGAAAGCCATGACAGCCATCTTTTTTATTGTCTTTATTTTGCCTAAAATAAAATCCCAGGGAGCAGGGCTGGCCTTGCCATTGGACGCAGAATGTGTGGTACCATCCTTCCTGTCCAGAGGCATTACTGCCCCATCACAGCTGGTTCTGGCCCCAAGCCCCAGGTGGGAGGGCTGGAGGGGCTATGTGGCTGCCCTGGGCACCCTCCCCAGCTGCTCATGCTGCCAGATGACCTCTAGGATCTACAGGAAAGGTTGCTGCTGCTAGAGGGCCCAGAGACGAGGTAGCGCAAGCGCCTGACCCAGAGGCAGCCTGGATGCTGAAACTCAGGCCCTGGTGCGCGCATCAGTATCCTTCACACAAAGCAACCCTAAGGTGCTAGGGGCACGTGTGACTGAGACCCGGGCAGAGGACAGGGCAACCCCGGGTGGGCCGTATCAAGGTTTCAAGGAAACGGCCAGCAGTGGGAGATGTGAGTTGGCCAATGAGGAGCTCTTGGCCCAAAAGTTGGAGAAATCGTGGCTGTGTAGAGTGTGCAGCCCCCTCTGGAATGGGCCAGAGCTTCAGCAATGTGCTTCAGCAAATGTCTTTACCTGGATGCGGCTTAAGTGTGTGAGAGGGTGGGAACCTAATGGAGTTCATATTTTGCCGACAACTAGCTTTTACTTTGTGTCCTGCGCCACTGGGCACCTTTTTTTTTTTTTTTTTTTTGAGATGAGGTCTCAGTCTGTCACCCAGACGAGTGCAGTGGCGTGATCTCGGTTCGCTGCAATCTCCATCCCCCAGGTTCGAGTGATCCTCCCACCTCAGCTTCTCCAGTAGCTGGGACCACAGGTGCACACCACCATGCCTGGCTAATTTTTGTATTTTTGGTAAAGACAGGGTTTCGCCATGTTGGCCGGACTGGTCTTGAACTCCTGAGCTAAGTGATCCACCCACCTCAGCCTCCAAATGTGCTGTGATTACAGGTGTGAGGCACCACACCCGGCCAACTGGGCATCTCTTTTTAGCCCATGTTATCTGCTCAACCACCCCATGAAACTGCACCAGACAGCCCACTTTTTGGATGAGGAGACTGAGGGATTAAGTAACTTGCTCAGAGCCAGGCAGCTGGTGTGCATGTGAAGGGGTGGACTTCCAGGCTCCCCTTCACCATCTTCTGAGAGGACCCAAAGACACAGTGGGCATCAGGAAGGGGAGGTTTCCCATCACCTCTCTCCCCAGGCTGTGCCCACCTCCCAAGCAGTGGCTTGAAGGGCAGCCCAGGGACAAGGGGCTCGGCCTGAGCTGGGGCTTTGCTTCCCTCATCTCCTCAAGCCTTGCTGGAGTTCCATCTTGAAGGCAGTGCATGAGGACCACGTGTGGAGAGAAGGAGACCCCCTAGCAGGGGTGGGAGTGGGGAATAGAGAAAGGAGAAGAAGGGAGCAGCTTCTGGGTCATGACCTCCTGAGCCCTGAGGTGTTTCTATCAGGCTTGGTTCCTGAGGTGGCCCTGGCTTCCTGTCAGGAAGTCCCTGAGGGATCCTCAGGGGAACAAAAAGGCAGTCTGTTGAGCTGAGAGGAATTGAGGCAAGTGAAGGAGTTTGATTCAGAAGATGGCAGAGAGGGAGAATGAGGGTGCAAGGAGGAAGGAAGGAAAGAATTTGGCAGGAATTTGGCAAGCTGAGGACAAGGACGGGAAGCAAGGCAAGGACTGACTCACAACTTTTGCCTTTTTAGGCTTGAACCTTCTAATCGTGGGCTGCGATGGGGGTGCAGTAGCGGGAGGCAGGCCAGCCGCCTCCCTGGCAGCTCCTTCCTGCCACCCTCAGATCAGATCTGTTCCCAGAATTACCTTTTCCCTCCAAAGCTTTCTGCGAGACCTCCCTCTGGGAGCTTGCTGACCATGTGCATGTGGTGCCATCTGTTCAGAGCCCACGCCTGGGACGTGCAGTCACACATGTTCGCATTGATGTATGGGGGGAAGCAGGGGAGAATATCGAGAACAGTGTGGGCTCCCGGGGGTGGAGGGGACTCAGTGGAACTCTCCTTGGGATGGGACTTGGCCTGCGTGGGTCCCTGAGGAGGAGCTTATCCCTCAGAGCTTTGGGGAAACTGAGACCAGGGGATTGTGTTGCACTAAGAAGCAGGTGAAAATCTGAAGGCTAGACACCCTGGAGGAAAATCTGAATGAGTCAGCTGAGCGGCCAGAAGCAGGGAGATGGACAAGAGAGCGGACTCGTTCCATGTGGCGGTCCTGGGAAGTTTCTGAGGGACATCCCTGTATGCCACCACAGTTCATGGGAGAGCTGGTTGGGCTGAGGGTAGGTACTGAGAGGGCAGATCTGAGAGGGTACATGGCATTTTACTGAATCAGTTTGAGCAAGTGATCTCAAATGACCCAATATGGAGACAAAATGTTTGAGATTTTAGATTTAAGGTTACCATGCTTGAGGGATGCAAGGGAAGAGAGTAAGAAGGAGGGGAGGGGGAGAGGAAGAGAGTACACATATGTGAGCTTGGTTGATCTTGCAGTAGGCTACGACTGTCAGCAGACTAGATGATCTCAGCCCCCCACAGCACAGAACCAGGCCTGTCCTCAGGGCCCTGCCCCACTCCTTTCACCTCCATCTCTGAGTAGCCACACTGTATCCTGTTTGTTCCCTGACCAACAGGAGCTTGGCATGGGCCCGCTCCATATCCTTCAAATGATTTGATACTGTAACCTCCCTCTCTTGCATTCTCTTAAAATCTCAAATGACTCCTCCTGTCTGAGAGCCTCTTGGCACACATGTGAGAAGAAAGAGCCCATCTCATTTGTCGTGGATGTCTATCCTGTCTGGACCCATGGCTAAGGGTCCAGCATCTTGTGGGAAGAAAGCTCAGGTGCTTTATTGACTGAGTGATTTAACACAGCCCAGCTCCCAACCACAATGGTTTTAGGATGCTCTTTGGAGGCAGATGCACATTTCTAAGAAACGTTCTGGAAATGCCCTGATACATCTCTCAAGAGCATCCTCGCATGAGTCTGAAACATAATGGTTCTTAGACTTCTCACCCTGGGACTTCCTTTGCCCCACAGGACCCTGACACTGCTATACCCATTCCTCTGAGTCCCACACCTCGGGCACCAGGAACCTCTGAGTCAGGCTCTGACATCTTCCTCTTTCTGATGGTTTATAGAATTGGAGCTTCACTTAAAGCCTCCTCTTTTCTTGATAAAATAATAACACCTTTGTAATGAAGAGTGTGTTCTTTCCTTGGTAGGTTTGACGCCAGTGAACAAAAGAACTATGTCACCTCCAAAGGACCCTTCTCCTTCTCTTCCTCTTCCTTCATTGTCTTCTCGTTCATCTTCCCCACCATCTTCTTCTTCAGCCAGTGTTTCTGAGCATGCTCCAGATGGTTCCTCCCCACCTCAGGTGAGTGTCCTTGAGGGTCCTGCCCAGGTGTCAGGAAGCTGAGCTACCTGTACTCTTCCCACCTTCCACACTTATCTCTGGATTCCATGTGCTCGTAGGTCAACATAAGTGCAAAGCCAAGGCCAGAAGATACTCTGTCAAGGTTCTACCCCAGCTGCCTTCATGTATACCTTTCACAAAATCTCCTGCTGCTCCTTCACAGCCATCCCTGAGGACACAGTCATTCCCTCAGCAAACTTTACAGGGCTTAGACTCCATGCCAGGTCTCCATGAGATACAGAGCTGCTAGGACACCTTTCCCTTGAGAACTTGCAAAGGGCATTGAGGAATTTGCAGCTGTAGGATGGCAGGCACAGAAGTGAGGGTTCCTTTGGTAGCATCCAAGAACCTTGGAAGCAACATCTTCCTTGAATATAAAATATCATCATTGATATGCAGGCTGGACTCTTTCCTTCTGTATGTATTTATCAAGCCTCTGTTACCTGCCAGGCCTGTTCTAGACTCTGGAAAGTAGAGTGCACAAGACAGAAAAGATGGGTGCTCTGGTGAAACCCCTGTGCTATTACCTGCCCTTCAGGGACCAGAGCTCTTGGGAGGACACAGCCACCCCTAGAGTCCACTCATGTTCCCTCTTTGCCAAGGGCCAAGTTCCTGCATGCTAGAAATAGCTACTTTCTCAATGGTGCAAGGTGGGAGGTTAAAAAGGGTCATTGGAAGGTCTTAAGGGCCATTCTTGTGCTACCACAGCTTCAGCCCAGAGGGTGACTGTCGCTTCTTACTTTAATGGCCTCCAAAGAAGAAGCCTTGGTTTCTTGGTTGTTAGAGGAACATACCTATGGGCGGATCATGCCCTTTAGTATAGACAATGACTGAGCACCCACAGAGGCCCAGCCAGCCCTACCCTCATGGGCCCAGGAGCTTACAACAGCAGGGTTCTACCTTTGCCTTCCCCCTGGCTTCCAACCCAGGTAATCTGTGATTCAGAAAAGCCTTTCATCAATGCTGATTTGGGGGTTCTGGGCAGATCCTGGTAGGACCCAAGGTAGCTACTTAGAACAAAGAGTATCCCTTTGAAATCATCTTAGGCAAAATAATTTTTGAATTTGGGCATCTGAGATGGGAAGAAAAAAGGGGAGGGGATTGTAGATTGAGATTTGCTTTAATCATATAAATAAATAGTGAAATTTTTTAAATAACTGCTATTTTTGCCCATCCCATCTAGATGACAGCTTCTGAGCCCCTCTCACAGGTCTCGAGAGGTCATGCAAGTCCTCCCACCCCAACCTTTCAAAGGCGAGCCATAGCCCAAGGAGCACCCAGGGAAATTCCGCTGTATCTGCCTCATCACCCAAAGCCAGAGTGGGCAGAGTACTGCCTGGTGAGCCCTGGTGAAGACAGCCTCTCAGGCCCTGTAGAGATGACTTCTGATGAGTGCCAGCCAGCAGAGGCACCTCTTGGGGACATTGGAAGCAACCACAGAGACCCACACCCCATCTGGGGGAAGGACAGGAACTGGCCAGGTCAAGAGCTATCTCCCTTGGCTGGAGAAGACTGGGGAAAAGGGAGTACTGGAGCTGGGAAGGAAGAAGAGGGAGGGCCAGTGCTGGCAAAGGAGAAGTTGGGCCTAAAGAAGTTAGTCCTCACTCAGGAGCAGAAGACCATGTTGTTGGATTGGAATGACTCCATCCCTGAGAGTGTGCACCTCAAAACCGGGGAGCAACTTTCCCAGAAAAGTGCTGAGAATGATAGACGAGGCCGTGTGCTAAAATCAGTCCGCCCCTTGCTGCTCCCTAGGGCAGCAAGAGAGCCCCTGCCAACCCAGAGAGGGGCTCAGGAGAAGATGAGGACCCCCGCGGAACAAGCTCAAGGGGAGCGAAGCGTGCCTCCACCCAAGTCCCCACTGCGGCTCATAGCCAATGCCATCCGAAGGTCTCTAGAGCCCCTTCTTTCCAACTCTGAAGGCGGGAAGAAGGCTTGGGCCAAGCAAGAATCCAAAACTTTACCCACACAGGCCTGCACTCGCTCATCCAGCCTTCGGAAAACCAATTCCAATAAAGACAGGGACCAGCATTCCCCTGGGAGAAACCGGCCCTCAGCCTTTAGCCCTCCTGACCCTGTCCTCCGCACCCATAGTTTGCCCAATCGGCCATCCAAGATCTTTCCTGCACTTAGGTCCCCACCCTGTAGCAAGATTGAAGATGTGCCCACACTCCTTGAGAAAGTGAGTTTGCAAGAGACCCTCCCAGATGCTTCTAAGCCTCCGAAGAAAAGAATCTCACTTTTTTCCTCTCTCAGACTCAATGACAAATCTTTTGAGAGTTTCCTCCAAGAATCCAGACAAAGAAAGGACATCAGGGACCTCTTTGGCAGCCCCAAAACGAAGGTGCTGCCTGAAGACAGTGCGCAGGCCCTAGAGAAGCTGCTGCAGCCTTTCAAAAGCACCTCCCTGTGCCAGGCAGCCCCTCCCCCTCCTCCTCCTCCTACAGCAGGAGGTGCAGGTAAGTGGCTCTGTCCTGATAAATGTCTGCACTTCATGCTGGGCAGTTAGTTATCTTCATTGCATTGACAAGCAGGCATCTTTCACTTCGTTTTGCTTCTCAAATACTAACAAAAGTAGGAAAACCCTAAAGGTGAAAAATTTGAAAAAAATCTGAAAAAATTAGTTTTGAAATTATAGAAGGTGTTGAAAAGAGACAAATCAAGTATAACCCTACCACCACTTTCTCACTTATTTTCTTTTTTTCCATAGGAATATTTTTTAGTAAGTTGTACATAAAATTTTGTATCTTTTTTTTTTGAGACAGAGTCTCACTCTGTCACCCAGGCTGGAGTGCAGTGGCATGATCCCAGCTCACTGCAACCTGTCTCCCAGGTTCAAGTGATTCTCGTGCCTCAGCCTCCCCAAGTAGCTGGGATTACAGATGTGTGTCACCACACCCAGCTAATTTTTGTATTTTTGGTAGAAATGGGGTTTTACCATGTTGGCCAGGCTGGTCTTAAACTCCCGGCCTCAGGTGATCCACCCGCCTCAGTCTCCCAAAGTGTTAGGATTACAGGCATGAGCCACCATGCCCAGCCTCTGTTTGTTTGTTTGTTTGTTTGTTTGTTTGTTTGTTTTAGAGAGAAAGGGTCTTTCTCTGTCACCCAAGCTGGAGGGCAGTGGCCTGATCATGGCTCATTGCAGCCCCAAACTCCTGGACTGAAGCACCCGGCTAATTTTTTATTTTTTGTGGAGATGGAGTCTCAATATGTTGCCCAGGCTGGTCTCAAACTCGTGGCCTCAAGCAACCCTCTCACCTTGACCTCCCAAAGTGTCGGGTTACAGGTGTGAGCCACCATGCCTAGCCAAAAATTTTGTATCATTTAAAAGTCATCATTATATCATAGATATTATGCCAATTACCATGTAGTATACATTAATGTGATTTAATTGAATATCCTGTCTGGTAGGTATGGTGAACTATTGTCTTATTGTTTAACTTACATTTGTATATATGTTATATATGCATATGTTTATATTTTATATATGGTGTTGAATGAACATCTTTATGCATATGTTTTTCCCTTTAAACTCCTATAAACACTTATGCATATTTGCTTACCAATGAAAATGTAGGCTTTTTAAATAATTTAAACCTGATTAAAATTTTTAAATCCTAAAATTAATATATCAAATAATCAGAGTAATCCAACAATATGGACATATCTAATAAAAAGTAAAATGTATTATCTTATCCCCTCTCCTCCTTGCCAAAGTTTTAGTCTATTCCCTTAGAGACAGTTTAGCTAAACATTCACACGAGTTCTTTTTTGTTGTTGATACTTGTTTGACTGCTTTGAACAAACTGTGATCCTACCATCCCTATTGTTGATCAACTTTTTTTTTTTTCCTAAAAAGCCTTTTTATTTTCTTATTTAACTTTTATTTTGAAACATTAGTTTTCAAGTAATATATTATTTCTCTTCAGTAGTACCTTAATCAACCAGCTATATGGATTAACAAGAAATTTTATTTTCAGCCAGGTTCAGGATAAGCATGGACAGGCTGAAGTATAACTCTTAAACATGCATAACAAATTAATAAACTATTAAACTTTTAAATAAATTAAATAGATTATTTAATAAACTATTAAAAATGCATAACACATTAAATTTTATGATGTGTGGCATAATATACCCTTATGCCACACATCATAAAATTTAATGTGTTATGCATTTTTTGATAATATATTTGCATGGTTCAAAATCAAAGGGTACAAAAGGTTCAAAATAAAAAGTCCTCTTTCCCTTCCTTGTCCCTGAGCAATCCAGGTCCTATCCTGGTGATAGACATTGTCATCAGTTTCTTAGGCATTCCTGCAGACAGAATTTATGAATGTAAGAGCAAATTTACATATTATATTTTTTATTTTTTAACACAAATGATAGCATGGCAGCATGCTGTGTGTACTCTTTTTGAACTTTTCATTTTATTTTGGAGTTTATTCCGTATTAGTACATAAAGCACTTTCTTCTTTGTTTTATAGCTGTACAGTATCCCACTGTGTAGATGTAACATAATTGATGTAGCCAGCCCCCTATGATGCAAAGTTTAAGTAATTTCAAATCTTTGGCTATTGCAAACAGTGGTACAACAATTAACTGAGAACTTAGGCCATTAAGCACATGTGTGAATTTATCTCTAGGATAAATTCTTAGAAGTGGAAATACTGGAGCAAAGGATATGTGAATCGGGAATTTTGATAGATACTGTCAACTTGTCCTTCATCACAGTGTGCTTGTTCACATTCCCAGCAGTAAAGTATGAGAACTCGATCTCTACATTTGCAATAACTGGTATGTTACTGATCTGATGGTGAAATATAGATCTCAGAGTGGTTTGAATTTCATTTTTTGTTTAACAAGGTGATTGAACATCTTTTTATATGTTGAGGAGCCATTTGCATCTTCTTTTCTGTGACCAGTTGATTTCATCCTTTGTCCAGTTTTCTAATGGTTTGTTGGTTTTTTCTTAATAATATGTACGGATTCTTTATCAAAAGGGAAATTTAGCCCTTTTTTGTAATGATGCAAATTACAAATATTTTTTTACCAGTTTCTTGTTTGTGCTTGACTTTATTTATAGTGGCTTTTCTTGTGTAAAATTTCTAACTTTATATAGTAGTTTGAAACATTTTTATTATATGGCTTCTGGGTTTTATATAGTAGTTAGAAAGAGCTTCTTCCAAGTTTGTAGAAGAAATTTCTCACAGTTTCTTCTAGTCTTCTTGATTATTTTCAATATTTTAACATTTAAGTATTTACATCAATAAATTTTCCTAGTATAAAATGTGAGCTATAGATTCAGCCTTACTTTTTAGATGTTTCCCTGGCTATCCTAAAAAATTAGTGAATAATCTCTCTTTTCCTCTCTTATGTGAGATGACACATTTATCACATATAAGATTCCTGAACTTGGACTTACTTTCCACACCATCTATTATATTCAATTTAGTTGTCTGTTATGTATCAATACCACACCGTTTTAGATATCTAAGTTTATGTATTTACATTTTTTTATTTTAGGTATTTTACTATCTGGTAGGAAGAGTATTCCCATTATTGATTTTCTTTTTCTAAAATTTCGTGACTCTTCTTGCTTGTTTGATATTCTATATGAACTTAGTATAGGCTTGTCTATCTACCAAAAATAAGTCCTGTGAATACTCTTACGGGATTGAGTTAAATGTATAAGTAACTTGGCAAGAACTTACAAAATTATGGTATGAGTTATCTTTCCATTTGTTCATGTCTTTTTTGTGACCCTCAGGAATATTGTACACTTTAGAGCATATAGATCTAGCATAATCATTAATTTTATTAATAGATATATTAGTTTTTGTTGCTATCGTCAATAAGATATTTTCCAGTTTATCTTTCTACTGTTGTTTGTATATATGAAAGTTATTGATTTTTGTGTAGTAATTTTGTACTTATCAGTTTTATTACATTCTCTTTGTTGTAAAAGTTTTTCAATGGATTCCCCTGAGTTCCCCCATATATACAATCATAACAACTGCAAATTATACCTTTACTTTTTGCTTTTAAATTGTATACCTCTTATTTATCTTGTCTCCCTGGTTTCTTTTGTTTCTAGAATCTCCAGAACAATGTTAAATAACAGTAGTGATAATTATTTCCTTAATATATTCCTACTCATAATGAGAATGCTGCTGGTATTTTTCCCATTTAAGCATGATAACTGGCTTCTGGATTGACTGAGATATATTTTATCATTTTAAGGAAATAGCCATCTAGTTCTATTTTGGTGAGAATATTTTTAATCACAGATGGATGCTGAATTTTGTCAAATGTCTTTTCAGCATCTTTTGAGATGTCTGATTTTTTTCTCCTTAATTTGATTAATATTATGAATTATACAGTAGATTTATGGATATTGAACCATCCTTGCATTGCTGAGATAAATACCACTTGGTCATGATGTGTTATTACTTTGTCTTATTACTTTACATGATGTCTTATTATTTTTTGATTATGTTTGATAATTTATTTAACATTTTGCGTTAAATTCATACATAATATTGGCCTACAGTTCATTGATATCACATTTATATGATTTCTGTATGTGCTAATTACAATAAGTTAGGGTAAATGTATTTTCCTGCTTTGATTAGCATGGAGAGCTACATTCATTTATATTCATCAGAAAATAGTATGACTTCCTTGCCTTGGAACAACTGGGAATGTACAGAATGGAATTAGCTTGGAGTTAGTCAGCTCTGGAAGTAGTGCCTGCCACCTCTCTTAGAAGAGTTTTGTGTTTCTCTCAAGTGTTCTTAGGTCAGTATCCTAAGAAAGTAAAGATTTTACCTAACCTATCAGATTAGACCCATCAGTCTTTTTTTTAAATTTCCTTGCTCAGTCCACCAAACACACACCCACATATATGCACTGACACTGTTGCCTCCACATTGAACTTGGGAGTGCATACTTCCATGCAATGGAGAGAGAAAACAGTATCATGCTCATTCAAATTGAAGTACCTAAAAGTTATTATCATTTGAATAAGAGCAAGGCTGAAATTACTTAATTTGTTTGTATTTTTACAAGACAACTTTCCAATTAAATTAATGGTGTACATAAACTTATCAGTGTATTTGAATGACTTGGAGTCATAAACTAATTTCAGGTACTTATCAGTGGTCATTTTATAGAAACAATTTTAATGCTAGTTATCATTCTTGTGTATAATTAAAGAACATGCCCTGAGAACCTTCTTTAATTTTTTGCATAAACATTTTTATTGCAGTATTACATGCATACAGTAACATCTGCAAATGTTAAGCCTACAGCTGATGAATTTTTGCAAAGTGCGCATTTCTGTAATTTTCTCTGAGATCAAGCTATAGAATGTTATCAGCACCCAAAAGACTCCCTCATGCTTTCTCCCCATTATATGCCCTGCCCAACAAAGGTACTTATCATCTGCCTCTTATCA